TAGGGTTTTCTGGCTGAAAGTGACTTGGGACTAAAAAGTCACAAAGGTTTTTACCCCGGCAAAATGTTATGTTAACATATTGGCCAAGGACTTCTTTGAGATGTACATCACTGGTTAGTAATGGCCAGAAGCTTTGTATGGATCGCTTCACTGTATTTCACCCCTCATCTTAGGGGGCTATCATTCTGGCAGTGTCACCAGATTTTCATGAAGGTGAAGGGGAGCACATTTGCTTTTGCACAAGTTTTCACAAAATTTGTTTTTTCGTTGTTTGCGGTGATGTAGAGTTGTTTCATGTAATAAAGATTTAGTTTTATATCTACATACAATTACCTTTTCTTGTCGGTTAGGACTGTCACAGAAAGTTGTTTATTGGCTGAGAGCGGTCAGCTGACACGCTCAGCCAATGAATATCTGGCAGGGTCAGCATCCAACTCTGCAGAAGCCAGATGAACATCACAATTAGTTATAGAAAAGAATTGGCGTCCGGTACAAAATTGATTATATATATATATAAAGCGTTTCAAACTGAAGCAATGGGTACAATGTACCATCACCACTTTAAATCACCGACGTGGTCATGGTACTTGGAGTAAACCATTAAGGCTAAAAGATGTATTCAAAACTGCATGGCATATTGTTTACTTACAAACTTATCCACAAATATGCAAACTTCAAAAACACATACTGCAGCATAGATAAATGTTAAACAAAATAACCAAATAGACCAGCACACTATACTGCAAGGCAAACACCAGTCATGTTTTAACAACATGAAAGTAAACTTAAAAAACTCATCACTACAGGCAAACCAATAGCACCATTAGCTGTGCCCATTGAAGTAGTTTATAAAGTGGTGCTCCCCACCTCCTCTCGGATCCCACTACTTCCTTGGGAGTAATCCTGTGAGATGAGCTGATCCAGCAGGAGGTTTATCTCAGTGCGGTAGATCTCGGAGTCAGACGGCTGTAGGTTTTGCAGTTTGTTGAAATACCGGTGAAAGTCACTGGCAGCATCGACCTCATTATGCAGAGCCCCAGCACTAGCCACCGGCATATGCAAACCATGCGATAACTCCACATCTACCCGAGACGCCATCTTCTTCCTGGGCGACTTGTTGCTAAGGCAACTAACAATCAGTCGCGCGATTGGCCGGGAGTCAGCGTTCCAAACACGAGACAGAGTGCAGCCGTTAGCTATAACCGCCGCTCAGTATGTGAAGCGCTCAGGGTTGGTCTCAGAGCTGCCTTGTCTTAGCAAGGGCTTCACAGTATATAAAAAATAATAATAATAGTAGTAAGTGTTCTGTTGGGTTTTTTTTTTTTTTTTTAATATTTCAGGCTGATGGCTTTGTTTGTACATACTTTCAAAATGTAAAATCCTCACGTTGTTCACGCTATTTAAAGGGATACTGCAGCAGCCACCAAAACAATTTAGTATAAATTAAGTTGTTATTGTGCTAAGATGTGCCTCGAGGCACTCATACCTCAAAGGGTTAAACTGCTCTCGAATGGTTTAATCCCAAAGTAGCCAATAGTCAGCGTCAGCACTTCGCTATTCCTTAAAAGGTGAAATTTCAGAAACCGAATACCGCCTGTGGGTGGGTGAGTGGAGATCACTGCTGGAGGCAACTTTCGGTTAAACCGTTCTCATAGGCTTTAACCCGGTTGTGTCCAGGGCCGGTGTAAGGATTCTTGCCGCCCTAGGCAAGAATACATTTTGACTCCCCCTTATGAATGCAACTACATTCCCTCAGAGGTTTATTCGCTAAACTCTGAATCAAACTAAAGAGACATTTAGGGAAAGAGGCGCACTGAGTAGATATTAACCCCTTAAGGACCCGACTGTTTTTGCGATGTTGTACATTTGCGACCAGGCATATTTTTACACTTTTGTGGTGTTTGTGTTTGGCTGTAATTTTCCGCTCTCTCATTTACTGTTCCTATACAAATTATATATTGTTTTTTTCAGTACAAAAGGGGCTTTCTTTACATACCATTATTTATATAATCTCTTGTATTTTAATTTTAAAAAAAATACAAAAATATGATGGAAAAATTGAAAAAAATACATGTTTTTTGACTTTTACTTGAAAAATATTTTGCTCATCTACAAAAGCAAATGGAAAAAAACTGCTAAATAGATTCAAAATTTAGTCCTGAGTTTAAAAATACCCAGTGTTTACGAGCTTTTTTGCTTTTTTTTTTGCATGTTATAGGACTATAGGTACAAGTAGGATATTGCGGTTTCAAAACATACATTTTTAAAATTAATCAATAGTGACATTGTAACACTATTATCAGTCATAAATCTCTGAATAACACCCCACATGTACATATTTTTTTTAACCCCTTAAGGACACATGTGACATGTCATGATTCCCTTTTATTCCAGAAGTTTGGTCCTTAAGGGGTTAAAGTAGACAACCCAGGGTATTCAATATGGGGTATGTTCAGTCTTTTTTAGTAGCCACTTAGTCGAAAACACTGGCCGAAGTAAGCATTCATATTTGTGTGTGAAAAAAGTAAAAAAACTAAATTGAACACTAATTTTGGCCAGTGTTTGTGACTAAGTGGTTACTAAAAAAAGACTGGACATACCCCATTTGCAATACCTTAGGTTGTCTTCTTTTGCAAATGGTATGCCATCATGGGGGTAATTCTCATTCCTGGGCTACCATACGCTCTCAAAGGCAACATAACCAACCTGGCCATTTTCAATGTAAAAATATTTGACCCTGTAACTTTAAAAAATACTATAAAACCTGTACATGGGGGGTACTGTTTTACTCGGGAGACATCGCTGAACACAAATATTAGTGTTTAAAAACTGGAAAACGTATCACAACAATTATATCATCAGTAAAAGTGCTGTGTGTGAGTGAAAAATGCAAAAAAAGTCACTTTCACTGACAATATCATCACTGTGATATGTTTTGAACCACTAATATTTGTGTTCAGCGAAGTCTCCTGAGTAAAACAGTACCCCCCCCCCATGTACAGGTTTTAGGGTGTCGTAGAACGTTACAGGGTAAAATAGAGTGCTAGCAAATTAAATTCTCTGGACTTTCGGCCTGGGTTGGCAGGCAGGTCCCTCAAATTGCAATCAATAAAATTACTTAATTATGTAAAAATATTACATAAATACGCACATAGAATTTAAATATATATGCATATTTATATATTTGAAGTCTACGTGTATATTTATATAATTATTTATGTAATTTTGTATGTGGACATATGTATATGTTGTATTATTTTGATTTATATATACATAGATATATATACAAATTCATTCTAAGTGTATTTTGATATAAATTTATCTTAATTTTAAAATACAGTTAGAATAAAATTTCATATAGATATAATTTTTTTCAATTTTTATTATTTTAATTTAAATTACTTATTATTTATATTTTATAATATATATATATATATATACACACACACAATATATAGTTATTACATATATATTATATACACGTGTGTAATTTAATAATAAGTGTATTTTTTTATTAATATAAGTACACATTAATATAAAAATACACTTAGTATGACATTATATATATATATATATATATGATATATAGACATATATATTATATCAATATAATATATGTCTATATATATATATATACATTTTTTTATTAACATTAACTTCAGTCAGTACAGGCAGTCCCCCTGCAGGCAGACACATGGACACCTATTGTGACCATGTGATCGCTGTGTTGAGTGATCACATGGCCACAGGGGTCCTAATCCAGTGTGGGGAGACTGTCTGGGCTGCAGGCAGTCTCCCCACACCGGGAGCAACGCTGATCGCCGCCGGGAGAATGACGGCGATCAGGTAAGTAATTAGGACTGTTAGGACGGTTCAGGACCGTCGGCGGTCGGCAATGGAAAAATGCCGATGACAGTCCTGAATCGTCCTCGGCCCTTAAGGGGTTAAAGGGAAACTATAGTGCCAGGAAAACAAACTTGTTATCCTGGCAGTATAGCTTCCCCTTCCGTCAAGGGCATCCCCCCTCGTGGTGCAGAAGGGGTTAAAACACTTTCTGTGACTTACCTGGGTCCAGCACCAATGTCTTATGTGCTGGCTTGGGTCCGCCTTTGCTCCTCAATGGCCGCGCTCACAGTGGTATTTCCGTGACTGGAAGTCTCCGTGCATAGCCATTAGAGGAGTTAACCCTGAACGGTAATTATTGAAGTTTCTTAAAAATTGCAATAATTACCTTTGCAGTGTCACTTACACAATCTCACTAATACACACACTCTCTCACTGGCATGCACACTTACACACTAACACATACACGTTCTCACTGACCTACAAATTGTCACTTGCACACTCTCACTAACATACACAGTGTCACCTACATACTCTCACTTATACACACACTCTAACTTACACACTCTCACAGGCATACACATTGTCAGTTACACACTCTAACACCACACAGTGTCACTTACACATACTCACTAACAGTATCACTTGCACACTCTACCTAACACACACACCCAGAGTCACTTGCACATTCTCACTAACACACACACCCAGAGTCACTTGCACGTTCTCACTAACACACAAACCCAGAGTCACTTGCATACTCTCCCTAACACACACACACACAGTCACTTGCACACTCTCCCTAACACACACACACACAGAGTCACTTGCACACTCTCCCTAACACACACAGAGTCACTTGCACATTCTCCCTAACACACACACACACACACACACACAGAGAGTCACTTACACATTCTCCCTAACACACACACACTGAGTCAAAGGGATTTAACTCCTAAGTGGCAGAGGATTGAGCAGTAAGGCTGCAGGGGCATGTTCTATAAACCAAAACTGCTTCATTAAGCTAAAGTTGTTCAGGTGACTATAGTGTCCCTTTAAGAACCGAGGGAGTTGGGTATTCAGACAGAACGCAAAGAGATCTAGGAAGAGAGGTCCCTAAAGTCGCAAAAGACATAGAAAAAGGTGCCAATTACCTGCTTATCGTAGGTATTGAGAACTCCAGTCCACTGTAGTATTTTACTGGCCCGGACTATGTTCTGCTATCATTGATATGTTGTGATGTAGGCAATAATGCCAAAACTCCTGAGCCATAACTTCCAAAATCCTCGACTTCGTTCCCCCCAGTTGATTGGTGTAATACATAGCTGAGGTGTTGTCCATCTTGAGGAGGATAGAGCAGGAAATGCCAGTGGGAGATATGCTGCATATTATTAAGGATGCCGCTAGTAGCTCTAGACAATTGATGTGAAGAAAAGTCTCTTCAGTGGATCATCTGCCATGGTAGAAACGGTCCCGTATTGCGCGACCCATCTGTGTAAGTTGCCATCTCATTCTATGACCAGATCCAGAGTAGATCCCAAAATCGCCCATCCGTTCCACGCTTACATGTGGGCGAGCCCACACATCAGCTCCTCTCTGGACTCCTCGTCCAGTGACCGGACGAGTGGCCAGAGCGTAGATATGAAGCTTTGAGTCTTTGTAGAGCTTGATAATGTAGAGGACCTGAAAAAATAGCTTGTATGAATTCTTAGTCCAATAATTCTCGTTAGTTGTCTGAGAGAAATTTCTGGACGATTCATAAGACGTCTGATCTCTTCTTTGACTGATGTGATTTTGTCCTTTGGTAGACACAACATCTGCTGGACAGAATCTACACGGGATCCCAAAAATGCTATGCATGAGGAAGGTCAAAGGACCAATTTCTCCTAATTCCCCAGAAACCCCACGTATCGGAGAAGATAAGTTGTCCAAGACAGGTGAACGTGAAGCTGGGATTGTGACTGAGACAGGAGAAGGATGTCGTCTAATTATATCATTAAGCTTACTCCTCACGTGCGTGAAAGGCAACTACCGACTTCAGAACTTTTGTGAAGCACCAGGAAGTAAAAGAAATGCCAAATGGGAGAGAGACAAACCTCCACTTTGTTCCTTGCCACTGAAATTGAAGGAAGTTTTGAGGAACCTCTGCGACAGGGATCGTCAGGTATGCATCTCGTAAATCCAGTTTGACCATCCAATCTGACGGTATCAGGATGTTGTGAAGGCAATGAATACCCTCCATCTTGAAATGGTGGTATTGAACAAATGCATTTAGAGCAGTGATGGCAAACCTTTTTGAGCCCAAGTACCCAAACTGCAATACATGCCAACTTATTTTCCTCAAAGTGCCAACACGGCATTTAAACCTGAATACTGAGGTTTACGTTTAGAAAAAACTACTCATATAGTTGTCCGAACTAATTCTCCTCTTCTCTCCCCCCAGCATCTCTACCCACAGCATATCCTCCTCTTCTCCCCGCAGCATCTCCTCCTCCTCTCCCTGCAGGATCTCCTCTTCTCTCCCCGCAGCATCTTTCCCTCACTACCCCAGCATATACTTTCCCCTAGTATATCCCCCTTTCCCTCCCAGCACATAAATAATGTGGGGGTTTTTTTTGGTGCGGGTGGGGGTTTGAAGTCCACCCAGGCTCTCTATCTGGTGGATCCGATTCCTTCCCACTGCTGTGAGGAGGTGTGGGCGCGAGGGAGCACTGACTTACGTGCTGTTCCAGCACTGCTCCCCCCTCTGATGCCGCTGGGAAACAGGAAATTCCCTCAATCAGGCAGTGTCGCTTGATTGACGTAATTTCCTGTCTCCCGGTGGCATCAGCGGAGGGAGCAGTGCTGAAACAGCACATAAGTCAGTGCTCCCTCGCAGCCCTCCATCCCACCCACCAGTCCCACCTTAAAGGGACACTATAGTTACCAGAACAACTACAGCTTATTGAATTTGTTCTGGTGAGTAGAATCATTACCTTCAGGCTTTTTGCTGTAAACATTGTCTTTTCAGAGAAAATGCAGTGTTTACATTACAGGCTAGTGATAACTTCACTGGCCACTCCTCAGATGGCTGCTAGAGATCCTTCCTGGGTCATGGCTGCCTAAAATGTATCCAAACATTCAGTGTCTGCTCCCACTGCATGCAGACACTGAACTTTCCTCATAGAGATTAATTGATTCAATTCATCTCTATGAGGAGATGCTGATTGGTCAGGGCTGTGTTTGAATCATGCTGGCTCTGCCCCTGATCTGCCTCCTTGTCAGTCTCAGCCAATCCTATAGAGAAGCACTGTGATTGGTTTAGGGTACCACTTCTGATGATGTCAGCAGCATTCAAACAACATTCAGAATTACAGCTTCAGGCTTGAATACAGTAAGATTTTGCTATATTTATGGAGGCATGAGGGGCCCAGGGTGGCTAGATGGTGGTTTTAACACTATAGTGTCAGGAATACATGTTTGTGTTCCTGACCCTCTAGTGATCCTTTATGGGCCCCTGGGCAAAGCAGTGCACTGGGGCCCTGCCTACACACAACTCACAGGAATAAAAATGTAAATTATAGATAAAATTAGGCTTATATTTATTAGTATCTCCAACAAATGCAATGCATACATAAAATACATACACGCAAACTGCTGAGCACATTCACACACATACTGCTGAATACATACAGTCCACTGCATACATGCACACACAAATATATACAAAGACTGCTGAATACGTATACATAGGCTGCTAAATGCACACATACAGACTGCTGAATACACATACAAACAGACTGCTTAATGTACACACAGACAGAATGCTGAGTACACACAGTCTGCTGAATACATACAAACACACACACATACTGCATTGAGGGGTGCAGTGTATGTGTTTGCGTGTACAGGTGCAGAGTGTGTGTGGAGTGCTGGGTGTGTGTGGGGTGGGGTGCTGTGTGTGGGGTGGGGTGCTGTGTGTGTCTAGGGGGTGCCATTTGTGTGGGGGGGTGCTGCATGTGTCATGTGTGTGGGGGGGTGCTGTGTGTGTCTGGAGCTGCGCACATTCAGCCGGTCTCATAGGAAAGCATTTACAATGCTTTCCTATAGACGCTTGCGTGTTCTCATTGTGATTTTCACAGTGAGAAGCACGCAAGCGCCTCTAGCGGCTGTCAATGAGACAGCCACTAGAGGATTTGGAGGCTGGATTAACCCATTTATAAACATAGCAGTATTTCTAAAACTGCTATGTTTATAAAAAAAAAAAAAAGGTTTAATCCTAGAGGGACCTGGCACCCAGACCACTTCATTAAGCTGAAATGGTCTGGGTGCCTAGAGAGGTCCTTTAATACAATCTGTATCCCCCCTCCCTTCCTCTTATCTTTAGTGAAGGGGAGGGGACACAGAATCCCTGGTGGTCCGGTGGTGATAAGACGGACAGGTCCTGCAGCTCTCCTGTCCTCCCACGCGATGCTGTGTGAAGCATTGCCATGGTAACTGCCAATGCTCCACACAGATTGCTCGCGGGAGGACAGGAGAGCTGCTTCCTAGATTCCTCCCCCTGCTTCCGGTCCTCCAGACATGGAAACAGAATAGACCCCTGCCGTTTTGGGTAGGCAGGTGCCTACTCTGCATTGATGTCGACCGGCGAACTATGGCCGCGTGCCCACAGAGAGGGTCCGGCGTGGCACGCATACCATAGGTTCGCTGTCACTCATTTAGTGGATGGAGATTGATGACTGGTCGTACGTCGCCTCTTTTCTTGGGGACCAGAAAAAGGTTGCTCACAAAATCCGCTGTGTCCCAAGGAATTTATTGAATAGCGTTTTTTTGATGCCAACTCTGAAATGTTTTGAAAAATTAATGTTTGATGGTCGACAGTCATGATCATCTCCCGAGCAGGGAGCACCTGTATAGGATGAGAGACTAACTCCAACTGATACCCTTGTATCGTTTGTAAAACCTATAAATCTGAGGTTATAACAGTCCATGCATGGTAAAACAGTGCTAGTCTGTCCCACACTTTTACATGGGAAAAATAGGAATAAGCGGTACTCACCATGAAGTAGTCTGCCAGAGACTGACCCCCGCGGTCCAAAGGAGATCCAGGGATGTCCTCGAAATGTGAAGAACGGGGTATAATTACGCTCCTGTATAGGTCTTTGCGTATTAAAGAAGCCTCTGCCAGCTCTGAATGAGCCCCGAAAACCATGGCTACTACCTCTTCCAGCCCCTCCAAAAACCTTAGGTGCAAACACTGTTTTCAAATTTGTGCTTTCTCAAGTGCTGTTAATGTCTTAACATAAAGCCCTAAATCTTTGATAAAGGATTCTCCAAAAAGAAGGCCCTTAGAGCCGGTCCCAGCTCATTGGTCGCCATTCTGACCAGTTTGGGCTTTTTAACAGGATTGCCACAGGATCAGTGGACATCGCTGTATTCGCATTTCCCACCATGCAAACCAAACTTTGCAACCAACCCTTTGCCACCTCAAAATCATTGTCCATCTCACCTGATTGGGTGGACTCAACTAGCTTGCAAAGCTTAGCAATAGGTCCCAGGGTGTCCAAGCCTTAGCCTTCTGGGCCAAAGCGGCCAGCTTCTCATCTGAGCCAAAGTCGGAGCCATTATCACTTTAGTGGTCCATATAACGATCCTCATAGTCCTCCACCATGCTCTGGTCCTATGAATCATTGTGGGCACATGCCTGTTTTTTACAATTTGGCCAATATTGCCAGGCCAGGGGTTCTCTTGCGCGGTGGTAGCTCTCCATCATCGACAGCCTTACGCATGTCATTCAAGACAGGGCAAACCTGTCCTGAACTTTGCGGCCTGTTTGCGCTAGAGTAGCGGGTAAAGGGGGCCTGTTTACCCTCATCTCCAACATCCCTTTCAGAGGTGGAAACCCCGAGCAAGGGAAATGCAGAGCAAGAAGGCCCATCACCCTGATTCTGCATAGTCAGGATAGGTAAAGAAACTGAAATCCTAAAGCAATTAAGAGTAATCACACTTATGTGCTACTATTTAGTAGACAAGGGTCAATATATTCCAGCAATCAGCAAGTGCTACTATAAGTAGGCAAGGGTCAATGTGTTATAACAACATACAAAAGCACTAAGTCTGAATATAAAACCTAATGACAAAACAAACTAATTACAATAAAGGTTGTGAAAGGATTGAGTAATCCACATACCAAAATTACTCACGGTTGACAAAAACACAAATATGAGGTCTGAGAGAGCAGCAAAGAAAGAGGAGGCGTCTAGGAGTACCACACCTTTATGGACTGTACTTATTCCTGATTGGTTGCAGTGTTGCAAAGCTATGTTATGTTTTTTACTGATGATTTTCTCTCTTTTTTTTTTTTTTTTGCTGCAGAGGGAAAATAAAGATAGAGAAAACATAATAGGAGCCTCCGTGTCATCAATAAAATCTAGATAGCACTATGTGTTGCTCTAGCTAACCATTTGTATTGTGAGCTTAAAGGACCACTATAGGCACCCAGACCACATCAGCTTAATGAAGTGGTCTGGGTGCCTGGTCCAGCTAGGTTTAACCCTTTTTTCTATAAACCTAGCAGTTTCAGAGAAACAGTTTTCCAGCCTCTAGTGGCTGTCTCATTGACAGCCGCTAGCGGGCTACCGCGCTTCTCACTGTGATTTTCACAGTGAGAAGACGCCAGCGTCCATAGGAAAGCATTGATGATGCTTTCTTATGGACTGGCTGAATGCGCGCGCGGCTCCTGCCGTGCATGCGCATTCAGCCGAAGAGGAGGCGAGGAGGCGGAGAGAAGGAGGAGAGCTCCCTGCCCGGGGCTGGAGAAAGAGGTAAGTTTAACCCCTTCCTCTCTATCCAGTCCGGCAGGAGGGGGACCCTGAGGTTGGGGGCACCCTCAGGGAACTATAGAGCCAGGAAAACGAGTATGTTTTGCTGGCACTCAGGGCCGCCATCAGGGGGTGACAACCGTGACTGCTCTGGCAGTCCTGGGCCCCACTTTGTTTCTCTGCACACATAGATAGCGAATATCGCTATCTATGTGTGCAGCCGCGGGCCCCCGGCTCCCTGTTACCGCAAAGGGGGCCCAGCCAGGCAGCACACAGCTTCTCCTCCTGTCTTCTCTCTTCTCATAACTCTCGCAAGACCCGCGGAGCG